TTTCCCTTCGGTAAAATCTAACGACACGACTCCGACACTTATAATACATAATCCGACAACCAAAACGCACGATGATACTTCGACAGTGTCTGAAAATAAACTTAAAATGACGCGTTCTGGAAGAAGAGTAAGATTTCCAGAACATTTAAACGACTATTGCACGTAAGACACTAGTTAACATTTGTTTCATCTCGATTTTCCATGGTATAATATAATATTAGAAAATCAATTTTTAATATGCTCATATTTATATATATTTGTTATTTGGCAAATATGCATAATAATAAACATTTTTTTAAAAAAACAAAAAAAACGTTTTGTAAAAATAGCTTTTACGTTATTTACACTTTTCACCCATTTTGTGTCTTAAAGCGCGCACAAGTTTATTTCGACATGCACTTACATATTCTTTTTTTCTTTTCCAGGACGGCTGGAAAAGACGATAAAAAGAACGATGAAGTTTACGAGGAACCAAAATTTTGATTGTACATTATTTTCTTACTGTATTGTATTTCGTGGTCCCTTATAGTAAGGAAAGACCACCAGACGCTGCTAAACCTAGCAAGCTATCAGAAGAGTGTTTTCCGACGACAAAACTCGTTGGGTTTAAACTTATGGCTGGCCGTGTCTTAGGGTCATCATTACCCCACTAGGGGGTAGCGATCTGTAGCGGTAAATAAATCCCCAAAATAAATAGCTCTGTAAGTTTTCGAGATCGGATGCTGACCACATTAGTTTTAATGGGATCACCTAGCTGAAGGCGCTCGGTCATGCATCCGCATCAGATCACGTGTGGAAACGCCGTGCTCAACATCTACTGCAATCGCTAGCCAGACTAGATCAGACAATTCCGATATATTGGCAATCGTCAAATACAACTTCTGATCTCCTCGATTCTGTCTTTTGATTTCTCTTGGTGGGTACGAGTTATATTAGAAGGTGTTACTGGTAAAAGCGTTGTCAAACACTGAATACCTGTGCCATCTTCAATGAGTTAATATATCTTTCGTGCCTTAAGGTAACCCTCGTGCTATTGATAGAAGAAACCAGAGAAGTAGTGAATAGGTCTTTATTTCGATCTTAGCGCAGTCGCAGTGGAGCGTGGGATTATCTGTTCAGACAAACAAAGGCTCTCAACATTCAATATAAGATAATAGGGAATATAACGCTTATGAAAAATAAGGAAGTGAATGAATACTTGAACAATACTGTTTTGGCATAAGCTTGGTTGTTTGGGGTCAACTCTTACCCAACCAACCTGAGCTGTTACATTAGCTTCCCCCTAGAATCGACTTCCGTAGGAACGTCGGTTCGATTAACCTATCCATCGAAAACACCTTAGTTCTATTTCTCATCCCAAGGGAAATTTATCAACTCGCTCTCTATTTGACTTACAATCAGTGACGACTAACGCTGTCAACGATAGTCCATGGATGTCTCCTCATTTACTAGCTTGTCATCTTATTTTGTAGCATGTGATCTATTCTACAACTATCGCTGACGGTTTACTGCGTGCTTTCAAGAGAAAGAGTGTGAGAATGTGGAATAAGAATATCTGAGGAAGTGCCGCGAGCGGGCTACCCAACACCATGTTGGTGAGGTACGATTTTTCCATGCTCAGACCGGCTATCAGGTGTTTACTCACCTGCCTCTTTAGTCGCCCTCAAGTAAAAAGTAAAGAAGAATCTACTTCAAAGGTAATGGTGAAAACCAATCACACCTGAAGAACTGCTCCACTGCCTGCATAAAAATAATAAGATACAAAATGGAAATACAAAAATATAATTTATAATTGTTCGGTTCCACGTAAGTGATTGGCCTCCAGAAAGGATTGGTATTCTGGAAGAAAATAGACATAGTGTAGCCATCTTATGTACGAAAAGGTATGAACACAAAAAAAATACTTTTTTATAATGCATATATGTAAAAGTGTAAACTTGCTAGAAGTTGGACTTATTGTCAAACCCGATCAAATGTATGACCTTGGGCCTATGACGACCGCCTTTTATAACCAGGTACGTAACCAAGGGTGTATAGTTGTACTCCACAAAACGGAAAAGAATATACGGTTAAGGAGGAGAAAAAATTTGTGTAGATTATGAGGATTAAGTACAATTGTGTCAAATACTCTTTTCTGGTTTGATCTAAGTATGTATGATATACTGAAACAATATTTCGTCAATTCATACAAGTAACGAATTTGTCTGCACCTTAGAAATGTGTAAGTCCTATTACTCATTAGTATTATATACGATTAATCGGTAAAAGGAAAGATTGCAGTCATTCGCCCGTGGTTTGATGTGGTCTAATGGCTAGGCACACGGTCTAGCATCCAGGAGGGCAGAGGTTCGAGTGCGTGTGGGGCTAGCGTTTTCGTTCACCAAAACCCCCTTCAATACGATGTTTGTTGGCCATATGTTGCTCAGATATGAGAGAAAGATAACAGGAGGACGGATTGATATGTCAAAGTGCCATATTGGAATAGTACAAGTTCTTTGTTTTTATTAATAATAATGCTATAGAAAAAAAAAACTACAAGTGTGGTAGATTTCCATTTTACGTTATAATTAAACCAACGAGAGAAAAAAAAAGGTATATATATATATAAGTTATTGACATAACATGTTTTTTTATAACGCTAGTGTTAAGTTCCAGGATTTTGTATGGACCACTAATAATAATTGGTTTAACGTTAGCATAGCTGTGATATTCATATTAGTTCAATGTTGTGATTACTTAACAGTTCCTTTATAAGTTGTGTTTAAAATTAGGTATGTGGAATCAATGCGGCTAACATAGTAACCTTACAGTAACGCACTGTACTATATCTTCACGGTTATTGATTCTTAAATGTCAGAAATTTAAAAAAAAATTTGAATATTGCCAATAATGATGGGTTATATGATCACACTAAAAAGCATGTTGTAGGAAAACTGGTTAAGTCATTATGTAAGTTTCCTAAACATGAAAAAAAATGATGAGAACTTTATTAAGTATTTGACCATAGTTTAATGCAAAATGTTTTGTCTAGAAAACCACTTAATAATAGTAGTATTAAGCGTATCAAGCTACTAAACACATCTTCAACCGAAAACTTTTAGAAGTAGTTCATATGGTATATATGTATAGCCAGTCTACGTGAAAAATGTATATAGATATATAAGAAGTACAGCCAACATAGTTAATTAACCAGAAAAAGAAATTATAAAACTCGCCTGGGTTGCTTTTTGAATTCGTTGTATTTGCCAGTCTTAGTTGTATGAGTTTGATTAAAATCCGCAGCCATCGTTTCGGAATACCTAGCTTATGTGTCCAGTATTTAAAAAAAAATTAACATAACACTTATATATCAAAGGCAAAAGGTCTGGGGAGTTGTAGGTGAGGCGGAATGAGGAGAAAAGTTATGTTTAAATAGATGAAGGGTCTGATTAGCTACGTGGTTAGATTTTATCCTGCAGCTGAAACTGTCAACATCCTTGATTGGCTAATCGGATGTGCCCAGCGAACCGTTTTAGTCATTTGTAAAGATTTATCGTCTTTGCATTTCGATTCCGTAATGGATTTGTCAGTTAAACGATCTAACAACACATATGGTGGTTCATGATCTAGATAAGCCGGCTTTAGCCTATCAATACTTACTGTGTCGATGTTTCCATGTTTTTCTATCACGAAATATTTAGATTTTCTTGAGACGACTTTGAAAGGACCTTCAAATGGAGGGCTAAGTGGTGCTTTTATTTTGTCACATCTTATCCAGACGTGCGTGCAATTGCTTAGGTCTTTAGGTACATATACGGCACGCGATTGTTCGCGAGTATTAATTGGCTTAAGTTTGGACATATGGTCCCGTAGTTGATCTACGTAGTTTCCTAAATTAAGTTTTTGACTGTTAGTATTGGGGTTAATAAATTCACCTGGTAGTCTCAGAGTTGTTCCGAAAACCAGTTCCGCAGCTGAACACTGTGCGTCAGTTTTGACAGATGTTCGTATTCCCAACATAACTAATGGTAGGAATTCTGTCCACTGATTGGGGTTTGAGTGAGATATAAGGGCGGTTTTTAGCTGACGGTGAAAACGTTCTACCATCCCATTAGCCTGAGGATGATATGCAGTGCAGCGTATCCTATTGGAGCCTAGAAGTTTAGCCAAGTTATTAAATAGTTCGGATTCGAATTGCGCTCCTCTATCCGTCGTTATTGTTATGGGTGTACCAAAAATGGTTACCCAGTTCTGCATGAAAACTTTGGCTACTGTTTCCGCTGTGATGTCCGCTATCGGAATGGCTATAGGGAATCTGGTAAATCGATCTATGCATGTAAAAAGATAATTAAAACCGTTTGAACGAGGTAAAGGACCTACCAAGTCGATATGCACATGAGCAAAACGTGCATCTGGTTGCGAGAAAACACCTATGGGTGAATTTGTGTGACGATTAATCTTTGATTGTTGACATGCTGAACACTCTCTAACCCATTTGTGTACATCCTTCTGTAAATTCGGCCATATATATCTGGCATTGATTAGTTTTGTTGAAGCTTTCGCGCCAGGATGAGACAAAGAATGAAAGTTATTATATATCAACTTTCGCATATTTTTGGGAACGAAAGGTCGCGGCATTGCCTTGGTCGTGTCACAATAAATTAGAATACCATCGATAGGTGATGGGAATTGTTTTAAATTAAGACTTGAATTGTTTGTTTTAAGTAGGTTTTGCAATTCTAGGTCCTGCTCTTGTTCGTGTCTTAACGTCTCGAAGTTTACTGTAGACTGCTGTAGCACGTTCATTTCTAGTCTGGATAAAGCATCTGCCGCCTGATTGTCCTGACCTTTGACATGTCGGATATCGCTTGTGAACTGTGATATATAGTCAAGGTGTCGGACTTCTCGAGGTGAGTATTTATCGGCTCTAGCGATTTTGAGCTTATCTGGTGCTAGTCTCCTGGGTTTTGCAAACACCGGCGCACCTTCGGTTTTGATAGTGTGACTCACTTTTAGTTTGTCTTTGGAAGGCTGTGGGTTTGGTCTAGTTAAGTTTGGAAATTCCGCGAGTATATCTTGGAATTTCGCTGTTGTTACTGGAGGGGTTTGAATCAAGTTAAGAGAGCTGATGTGGCTTTCTTTGCCTTTTGTGTAATACGAAGTTTCTTTTAGTGTTAATCGCCGTTTCTTGGTGTCAACTAGAAATTCGTATCTCTCTAGAAAGTCCATCCCCAGTATTGCCAGATCTAAGTCGGCTACCGTGAAAACCCAAGGGAATTGCCTCCTGAACCCCAAATCTAGGGTTAAAGTTTTCTGCCCAAATGTCGCAATTTTAGTTTTATTTGCAGCTTGAAGTGTAATTGATGATGTTTCTCGACTAATCTCAGTTTTATTTTGAGGGATGATGCTTAGAGCAGCGCCAGTATCCACCAAGAAATTCAAGCCCGAGTTTCTGTCTCTAACATAAAACAAGCGACTGTTTAGGCGCCCCTCCTCAGTCGTCGCGACCTGGGGAGGGGTTACTCGTTTCCCGCTGACTTAGAATTATGCTTAGGCCAGGCGCATGGTTGCGTGCACTTGGTTGAGTTGACACCAAACTTCCAGTGGTACCAACAAAACTGCCCAGATTGTCTGGACATTTGTGACCTGTTTTGTGACTTAGATCGTGGTCGTTGTGGTGACCTGCTCCTGTTTCTATGACCCATTTGCATTCTGGTGACAGCCTCAGTGAGACTCTTAACACTCGCAATGAGTCCTTCTATTACGGGGTCTTTTGCTGATTCTACTTTTTGTGTGTGATTTATTATGCCTGATCCAGTTGGAGGACCTCTTTCCATTATTCTGTCGGCTATACGCGCTAAATGAGATAATGAGGTTTCAGGATCCTGTGCATCCAAACAGTGTTGGACGTAGCATGGGAGAGCTTGTATCCATCCTTGTTTTAGGACTGCTTCACCCACTGTGTTATCACCCACTGAGACTTGGAGGTGACGTAAAAACTGTGACGGCGACCGATCACCTAGTGTTTCACCTTGAAAAAGTCTTTGGATTCTTTGACTATCTGATAATGATAAACGGTTCATTATCTCTCGTCTTAAGATGGTGTATGGTTGTGGTGATGGTGGACTTAAAATCAAGTCACGGACTTCTTTGGCGACTGAAGGAGGAAGGATAGAACACAAGTCTCTATAGCGAATCCCTTCAGATTTGATATTGTGTCTCGTGAAATAATGCTCTAGTTGAGCAAACCACAACTCAGGATCACTACGATCAAATTCTGGAAGTCGGGATTTCGTAGTCATAACAGTGTCTATCTCCACTGGTGACAAATCCTCCAGATTATGGGTTTCTATTGAGTCTGACATGAGGTATGTGACAAATATAGCAATAAAGTTAGCACAAAAAGTGGTTACTATAACACGAATAACTTAAGATAATACGGAATAAACTAGTTATATACTCAAATTAGTTTACGGATAATCAGGTCTACTTTTACGATTAAGTAAAAAAAATGTTAATAACAGAAATGAGGTTAAATTTGTGTTCAAAAAGGGCTCACCAGTTTCGTGCCTTAAGGTAACCCTCGTGCTATTGATAGAAGAAACCAGAGAAGTAGTGAATAGGTCTTTATTTCGATCTTAGCGCAGTCGCAGTGGAGCGTGGGATTATCTGTTCAGACAAACAAAGGCTCTCAACATTCAATATAAGATAATAGGGAATATAACGCTTATGAAAAATAAGGAAGTGAATGAATACTTGAACAATACTGTTTTGGCATAAGCTTGGTTGTTTGGGGTCAACTCTTACCCAACCAACCTGAGCTGTTACATATCTTCCTTTCGTGAAATATTAATTACTCGGTTTGACAGTGCTTGTAACTATGAAATAAATCCAACCTATTTCAGACAAACACACCTACGGTTAAAATAGTTCTCAAATGTATATAATATGGTAACCACAAATGAGCAGATAAACCATGTGTGTAGTGTGTGTAAATAGGTATTTTAGCCTTAGCTTGTCCTCAATCATGTATTTGCGATTGTTGCGATGTATTGAGTTGTTGTAGACGATGATATGACTTCCACGCAAGATCTTATAGATTAGGCATGACAAATCTACAATTTTAAGATTAAGTCTATTATTAGAGAGGTACTTATATCATAGTAGACCATAATTCTACACATTCTTTGTGTGCCAAGTCAAATGACCATGGAATAAAACTAATAGCAGTACTCTGAACCCATTCTACTGAACCAAAGTCAGTCTTTAGGCAGGGACGTGTGTTCTGTACATAATTTTATGATATTAGTCTTATTATGTCTGTGCGAATTCCTGTGAGCACACTCATATAAATTTATTAAAGTCATTCTTGATGTAAGTGAAGAAGGCAGTGAGTCGTGGTCTTCAACTCATGACTTACGATGACACCGAGGACAGTGAATTTAGGCTACCACAGTGGATATTTCAACACTTTAATACTTGGTAATATACATTTATCCAGTTTCATAGAAATAGCTACGTTAGTGGGCAGCGTGCTTTCATTGTAACACCCTGGCAAAATGCCGCGTTTGACACCAAGTACTCGTGTAATGAGATTTCCCCAACCTCTAACTTAGTGTCAGCGACCAACCAAAGCTTCATGATTCACCTGGATTACTGAAACCTATTATACAGAACCTCATAGAAGATTTTATTGGTCTTTTGATTTTATGCTATGTAAAGATTTCGCCCACTTCTTTGTTGCTAGTGGAAGACTTAGTGAACAAAATGATCAACCCGAAGAACCGTGTTATGCATGAACTAGCAAGCTTCATGGCTTCCACAGAGACAAAATGGAATTGTCGGTATTTCCAAAGACGGAACGACTATGTTCATCAAGCTCATCGCCTGTAATTTGAGCGTTGCCATCATGGTTCTAGACATGGTATTCCCGGTTAATTTTTAAATTATTGGTTTCATGGTACTCTCAAATAAATATGGCAGCTCTAATAATAAAGATGTGAATTACAAAAGTTCAATTAGTTCGCGAGAATCATAGAAATTTGGCAGAAACAGGAAAAACGAAAGCCACAAAATGAATAAATAGTGACCGTCTTAGTTGGAATTAAAAAATTAAAGGAATATACAACTGGCGGGATTAAAAAGAATGTCTTCACACTTAAAAATAAAACGAAAAGTTGCATTATAATGATGAGTACATGTGCGCAATTCTACATACATTCACACAAAACTCCCAAAAAATATCTTAAACGCCATTTATCTTCACACTATCGATGGAAAACATATATTGAGACTCTAGAACAAAAACATATCGGGTATTACTCCAGTAATTTTGTTATATACGACGACCGTTCATTTTGTATTTGTCAACACATGTTATAGACAGATTGATGGAATATCGATGGGTTCGTATCTAGGTATTTTCCTTGCTGATTTGTTCTTTGCGAAAGCAGAAAATGAACCTCTCAAGGAAGTTACTGATAAGCCTGACTCCTATTTTCGTTACATTGATGATGCGTTTGTGGTAGAGTCGAGTCGCAGTTGACTATGATCACTACTACAGACCGATTACGTGCCAATTATCTGGTTAAATCCCTCCATGAGATAAATATTAGAAGGACAGTTGTAAATTGTAGTTACCATACATTTGTTGGTGATCTCGTGGTATCGAAATACTGCCGAGATCGTGCCAAAGTTTACAGGCGAGACTACCGTGCATATATGAGTAAGTGTAAGGTCAAGAACTACGGAAAAATTATGTTTTTGGTGCAGTTAAACAAAAGGGTACAGTGAAGTAATCATTGGTACAGTTGGTTATAATAATAAATGTTTCCATTGCACCAACCACGTTCCCTTCATAAACGTAGATCATTATCGTCAAAAAGAACATTGGGAAAGTAAAACTCTTAGAGCTACTTAACAATAAACATTCAGAGATCACATTCATATATGAAGAGGAGTTTGATAAGAAATTACATTTCCTCGACGTTTTGTTGAACAGTAAAGAAAGTGATTCTGTCTGTAGAAGTGTGTATAGAGGAAGTTCTTCAGCAAGCCAGCACACATATTTCTTGAGCTTTATACCCGGTCATTATAAGAGAAACTTAGTTATATGTCTTGCAAATAGAGCTTCAAAGATGTGCTCAGCTGCTTCTATGAACAAGGAACTTATTCAAAAAATGTTGTTTGACATGGATTATCCACAAGGTTACTTGAAGAAACACATGAATATGGCAAACGGGTAAGTAGCGACATTAACTGCCAGTAAGAAACCTTTCTTCCTGAAGCTACAACTCAACGAATATATAGCTGGTGATGTAAAACGAGATACTCTCACTAGAGCAGTAATGAGAACGTCTGATGCAGCTAATATTTGTCTATTGTACTCTACTCGAACTATGGTAACTCCCCAACTAAAGGATAAGTTATCTCGTTTTCCCATATCTACGTGAGTTTAAAAACTCAGCTGCCCTTATAGAGGGGGCTATATTAGGCGCACAACCGGACAGCTGAGCCAGCGAGTTAGCGAACACCATCAAAGCAATGAGCAGCTCTATCCTATCACATTCGATCGATAACGATCACAGGGTCAACAAAAGTAATTCATTAAAAGTGATTTATTGTATACCCACTAACTTTCCTAATAAGGCTCGACGTCGTCCCTTACACACAGCAGAAACTATAGAAATTTAAGCTACCAAACCAACTGCTCGTGTTCATAGGAAATTTGTAACGTCATCTCCTCGTCGTCTAACTTAACGATATCAACGAATTTTATTGGCTATTCTGTGCTCTTTTTTGCCAACTTTTCTTCACTTTTTAAAGATATACTCTTCCTATTACGCAATCTCATAATTTTTTATAAATTTTATCTCATAGTCCATTTTTTCAAGTTGTCTGCCTATTCCCTCCTATGAAACATTGAGTCAGGCCTTTGATGTTCTTATCACAACTTGTACACCTGGCATCACCCTGACAATGTGTGCTTTTTACTTATTGTGTTTATTTAAGTAAGCTATTCCACTGTCATCACTGACTCATAAACTACCTTGAGTGTTCTGACAATGCGTGTAATTATCACCTCTTATAGGAGTAAAGCAATAATGTTTATATATATATATATATATATATATATATATATATATGATGGGAATTTTTGACTGATTGCTTCGGGGTCAATTCCGATATGAATGGACACCATTTAATAACTTCACGACCAAAATGGTTATCCGTAGACGATTTTCTGACCTCGCCATTTTTTGTTGCATGGGATATGTATTTATGATAAAAACATGAATTTCGAGCGAAAGTCTGCTTCTGTAATTTTCATGGAAGGAAAGGCCAGCTGCTTAACAAAAGCCTTTTCAATCTCAGTTTAGTATTTTATTTGAGAACTGAGTGTTATAATGATATATCCATTTCAAATAGTCTTGAAGAGCTGCCGCGAAGATTATGAACTATGCTATTAATAATTAGGAAACCGCGTTGTTTGTCACTTGGATCATGAGATATGGACCATTCAGCTATCGGGTGACAGAACTATCTACCGTGCCTCAACGCGAATTGATTTGACTCTACCAAGTCTACTTGTTGGTCTGATAGGGGACCTAACGAGTCAAAGAAGCCACTTGGATCTTTGAACATAAAATAGGCTGACGTATCGGTAAGTTGGGTCATAACTGTATGATCCATTTTGAAGGTTTTATGTGTTGGTGAAAATCCCTCCATGTATATACTTACACCTTGTTCCTATTGATTCTTTTAGTTGTACATTGTTAACTTTTTGACTACATTTGAATTGTTAATATTTGTATGTTATTATAGTTTCGTTTATACTACACCTTCACCAATTCCCCATGTTTCTTCCCGAACTGCACTTATGTTGTTTTACTTTATACTAAGTCTGGGCGGCAGCCATTTGGGTTTGTCCCTGCTTTTGATTTCTTGACCTGTGTTGACTGGAATTGTGCATTTTGGTTGTGAATTGAAGCACTCTTCCAGAATTGAAAACACTCTGTGTTATAGAGCGACCAATTATTACCTTTTGAACGAATCTGTACGTGATCTATCCAGACAGGATAGAATGACATTTATTTGTGGTGATTGATTTGATCAATTGAACAATTATTGGTTGGATAGCTGAGTGGTTATATTTGTTTAGAACCGTCATCTTACCCAATCACTTTGTTTTGGTTTCGATCGGGCGAGGGCGCGTATCTAACTCATCCAGACAGCTGTCCTTCAATCCAAACCGTAGTTTGGATCTTACAGTAACAATTGTTAGACACTGTTAATGCTACTATAAGTGATAGAGAGTATGTAGTTTAAAGAGTGTTGTATTTGTATTAAGCGCTATCTGGGAATTCTATAAAGAGTGATCGGAGTCTTATGGAGTCTCACTAACGACCAGCTCCATACGGTGTTGGAGCCACGCCACTGCCATTAAAAGGGTGTCCAGATATTTGAATACGCAGTTTTCCAGGGACCAGATGACATCACTAAGTAGGGGCAGTTTAAAAGGCGA